TATCGATGTTTTTTGGAGGCGTGGTGCGCGAACTGAAAATATATGTTTTTTTTGAGAAAACCTCGTAAGTACCGTGGTTTTGAGCACTCAATAGCTCAAAAAGGCATTTACGTGGTTTCCTGGCGTAAAGGCACAAAAAACCGAATTACGCAAATAGCGTGGTTTTGGGGCGCCTCGAGCAGCAAGAAACATGGATATTTACCGTGGTTTCCATCTTTTTGGTCATTCAAAAAGGTCTCTTCACCACCAGCCTGAGGGATTTTGCCTGGTCGCGAACGTGTTTGATATGAGGTCTCGAGGGCGTGCGACGCATTCGAAAGGAACAACAACCATAATAACCAAGCAAGCAATACAAAGGCAACGGACAGCCGCAAAAGAAACAAACTAAAATCAGAAACTGAACACGATAGCGAACACGCGCCCTACCGGCATCGCCGGTCCAATCGAAGCTCTACATCGTCCAATCGAAGCTCTACCGTTTGGAGCTGCGTGCTCCGTGAGAACGAGCTGCTGCGGATGGAGGTCCACTGTCTCGATGCCCATTGGGTGCGGGAAAAGGTCAATCGCCAGGAGGGTTCAAGCTTCTTGTTTCTACTAGCTTCTTGTTACTACTAGTAAGGCACTTGTTACTACTAGCGTGGCACTTGTTACTACTAGTCATAGATATAGGTAACAATTGTTTGGACACATGGTCACTCTTTGAGAAAGGCCTGCAACCTAACCAATCATCATCCACTCTTACTGGTAATGGGATCTACCCAACCTGGGGCATCGTTTTGGGTATCGTTGTCCCAAGTGGTTCTTTGCTGCTTCTTTTCACGCAGCATTCAATCAACGAAGTGCCTGAGCCAGCTTCCAGGTCAGCTTCACCGTGCGGGCCTCTGCAAGGATGGAAAAGGAGGAGGCTTGAGGTCTCAAGAAGGTTTTGGAGGTGATATGTCCTGAATGAAATGCATTATATGAGGTTTTAAGAGATGGACAGTTTAGACACATGTTGGAATGATCAACCTTAGACACATGCGAAGGCAGGACTTGGACATGGTCAGAGACTTGGTTGGGACACAGATTTGTTGGCAACGTTTTTCGCACATCTGGAAGTCATAGAACCAGCACTTCACGTTCATCCTGTTCTGTTTTGCCTACCATCGGGCCGTTCGCTCGTCGGTGTAGGATGAAAGCGGACGAACTATACCGATGTGTATGGTGCTAAGGCGAGGGAGAAGCGAGGAAGAGGGTCCTATGCATTGCAGCAGCACTTGCAGAGGTGGCGTTGGCAACCTCGCGCCCGGTACCTGGGGATCTTGTATCTTGGGTTGGATTGAACGATAGATGGCACCTTTAGGGCCCCCAGGGTCGGTGTCGTGTTTTTTTCATGGTCCCTCCGTCATTCTGGGGCGAAGCATTCTGAAACCACTGTAGAAAGCCGTCGTCTCTTTTTTGGATCGGTCTTCCACTGGATCGGTCGTGTGCGGTTTCGTCCGTTGCGGTCGCTGCGCCGACGCCAGGGAGTTCGAACCCGTTGGGTTCGGTGGAACTCCAGCAGCTCTGTTCGGCGGTCGGATGCTCCCCCCCCCCCCACGGAGGTGTGTGCCCGCACGTTTTGCCCAAGATGGCCCAAGAGAAGTTCGGGTTCGTTGAGCCGATGTAGTCGATGCAGTCCCGTCGACCGCGGTGCCGCTGTTCCGAGTCGAGCCGCCAGGGACTTCCACTCGAGCTTGTGCAATGGCATGGTCCGTTTCAACGCGCATCACGGACAGACGGAGGAGGCGAGGACACAGGATCCGCACCCGAAGCAAAACGACGGTGAACTTGAGGGGCCGAGGGTTCGACCCCTTCTAAGGAGGGTCCGATCGCATCCTTAGGGATGTAGGAAAAGCCATGGTTCTCAGCATTTCAGACATATTCAGAACCACACCACAGCCTCTAAGATCCCTCAAGTGCTGAATTTGCAATTTGTTTGGAGTTCAGGTGCCAAAAATACGTTCCTGATTCAGAACACCTGATATTGAATCCCTAGCCAGGTGGCCTCACCAAGCGGAGCTTGCAGTCATTTATGGTTTCATAATGTTTCATATATGCTTTCTATCAAGCATCGTCTCATCAAATTACATGTACCAGCACCCTCCAATAGGTCACCACCTGCCAGCTGTTATATTAGTCTCCAAAAGCCGGGGAAACCTGTTAGAGCGTGTTGGTATACATGTATATACATGATCTATTCTGATTCATGACATGTCATAATACTGTAAAGGCACAGTACATCCTTCTGAACTCGTATGAACTGGTTCAGGAACACCTGTGTTCATGGTAAATGGCAGGGTTCACATATTAGGTTGTTCAGCCTGGTTCCCCTGTTCGAGGAGAATTCTATTCACCTGTTGTTGCTGAACAGAGGGAGAGCTTTGTTTTGTGAATAAACATCCTCAATCTTTGAGGTCTTCTCAAGACTCTATAGCTCTGAAAAACAGGCGAATGATTCAAATCATCCTCTTCAATCTACAGCCACTCCCCCGGAAAATGGCCTGGTTTGGTGATGCTTCGTCTTGTTTTCCAAAAACGTTCGAGCGGACTGTTTCAGCCGTTCCAAGTGGCCTCTTGGATGGCCTCGGCCTTCGCCCGGCCTTTGGCATAAGCCAACCGGCCGCCGTGTTCCTCACCGTGTTCCTCGCTCGGGCCGAGCTCGCTCGTGGTCCGCCAGGCAGAACGTTGGATGAGGCACCTGGACACCAAGCAGGGCTCGGAGACCTAAAACCGGGAGACACCTGAGACCCGCCAGAACGCGCACGAGCAGAACGAGCACCATTGTTCTAGGCTGCTGCGGGAGGTCTTCGATACTTTTTTTGGGGGGTCTCGTTGGTAGAAACTGCCATCCATGGAGCCTCGTTGTTTGGTTCCTGGAGCAACGCTGCGCTGTTTCACGCCAGGTGAAGGGAGGATTCGGGGTCACCCCTCGTCCCATCCAGTGGATGTGACAGGGGCACCCCGACTGCCTCCATGGATAGCAGCCCTTTGGAACTGCTGGTATAGGTCTTGAAATGTCTATATACATATTTAAGTGTCCACTTTCTGGATTTGGCAGTTTTGTGACTCATGATGCTCTGGCGACCACAATGAGTCGCCAGAACACTTTAAAAAGTGAACACTATGCCAAGTAGCTTGCTAGCAATGAGAGTTTTCTTTCCTCAAGTGTTCTGCGTGCAATCATGAAAAACCCAGGGGCGATATGTACCTAGAAGATCCTTCAACCCAAACATGACAGGAAGTTTGACCATGTGTACTTTTCTGTATCACGACCGGGGTCTAGGTACGTGTCTCGCAAAGCTGTTTGGAACAACGACTAAAGAGGGCATCTTCGGGGCGAAAGAAGAGGCAGCATGACACACACCTCCCACATCCTCCCACCCAAGATCATGGAACCTTTACCTGGACCTTCGTCCGGGGTGTCCTGCTTGCTGTCTGAAGATCCCGGATAGTCGTGGGCTGGGGCGAAACCAGCGTACGGTGACCCCGACATGAAGGTGCTGCTCTGTGTTTCACCATGTTGAACCGGGTCACCGGGCGACCACTCGCCCGTTCCACCGGCCAATGCGTCCGGTGGCTTCACGTTCGGTGTCATCCGGCCTCGCCGAGGTGATGTGCCGGATGTCGAGACGCCACCTGGCGGAAGACGACGCAAGCGACGCAAGCGGCCGCTTCCGGTGTCCGTCGGTGAAAGACGGGAAGGAAGGCACTGAAACGGTTTGGCGCTGGACACCGTGGAACACCACGGCTGGACACCGTGGAAGCAGGGTACTGAGGCTCCCCATGAAGGTGGATGCGTGGCTGAGGTATTGTGGATGGTGAAGATCAAACCTTAGGGATCCAAGTACCTTCTCGGAAGATCTCAGAAGGTGATTGGAGGCGCTGTTATGTAGGTTTGGAGGGTCCAGTCGTACCTCCTGAGAAGGTACGACTGGATCCCTAGGGAAAGTGCTTTTGGACAAAAGTTGTGGATGCTGAAACTTGGCCTCCATCCTCGCGCCGCGAGGTTCAATGCGCTCTTGGCCTCGTTGCTGAAACGAAAAGACCTGGTCAAGGCGGCGGCCCCTTCAGCCCACACGCGCGGGTTTTCTGCATGGGCTTCGTACTTCCGTCCTGAAGAGTGGAAGTGGCATTGTGGGAGGGATTAAAGGGATCGTTGAAGTCGTTGGATGGTGAAGAGGTGGGTTGGCTGGCGCCAGTGTGATGGTTGTGAAGATGTTGGAAGCTGAGTTGCTGTTGAAGACGAAGGCGTGGATCTACCATCTGACAAGTATTTCATGCTCTCGATGATATTCTCATCACTCATTTAAGCCCAAGTGTAGGTAGCATGGGTGACCTTGGCTGTCGTGTGCCGACAGCGGGTGATGTAGACTGTCCGACATGTAGTTGTTCGACGAATAAGAATGACGATACTCCCCCCCTGGCAGCCTGGAGATGTAACACCACTCGGGACACGGGTCTTTGTTGATGGGGATTTGATTCATCAATCAATCAACGATCTACTGTTCAACAGGCAGGTCAGCCGGCTGCACTGGTCGGTTGGAGGCCTCGAAATGGGCGCAAACAGAGGCGGAGGTTGAATGAGGAATAGAAAGGAGACGAAAGGAGCAAAGCAAGATGTGAAAAGATGCCATTTGAGAAGGTGGCAGCGGATCCCTACTAGATGGTCGATCGGGGACGAAATGATGGAGCCCACAAATTCATGAAACAGCTCTTGTCCTGAAGCTCGTGGGAGCAAAAGTCAGAACCTCTACAGTATGGCTGCAAGGCCTTGCTATGTGAAGACGTAGACATACATAGACAACGTCTCAGAATCTCAACATTGATCCTTGGAAGACAGTCAAACAAAACACCCAGATCAACAATTTGACACGTGGCGTTGTTGGTCTCCTTGACCAAGTAGACTCTTTTCATCACTAGGCTCTTCACCGCCTACAACCACCGCTACCTTCGACTCGCTGCGTAGCTGGCCCTCGCGTATGCCTCCCTCTTCGCCCTCGTCGCAGCCCTTTGATTCAAGCTTTGACCGATTTCGGGACGCGATCCGCGTCGAACCTGTGAGCCACGACGCGCACTCGGACAGCCACGTGGAAGCCATGGCGACGAAGAGTGATACCTCAACGGTGCCTGAGCGGGGTTGGTTTGTGTCGGGCTCTGTGAAGCCCGTGATACGGCATTCTTCAGATTCCCCAACCATTTCTTTGAGACCTAATTTGATCAGGTCAAGCCATAAAACGATGTTTTACCATGGTACCATGGTGTTTTACCACATTTTTGGAGGGTTGTTCCATTTTCCTGATGCTTCACTCCTCCGGGAGCTGGGGGAACCCAGCGGGTTCAGATGTCTACCCCGTATATAGGTCCACTCCTCCATCCGTGTGAACGGGGCCGCATGGATCTCGACCGTTGGGGCGGATCTCGAACGGTGTGGGGCGTTGGGTTTCTGACGTTTCGACACTTCCAGGCTTCCCGTCCGTTCCGGACCGTTGAAGCAAAATGGGAGCTGGCTTGACCTGGTTGTGTAGTAAAACAGTAAAGCAATGGTTGTTCGGTAAATGAGGCCATAGTCAGCCTATTCAATTACTGGGCCAGGAATCCTAGGGTATAGCCCTGCCTTCACCACCGGGAGAAACAAGGGGCGTGTGCGACGGTATGTCTTCTCGAGCGAGGAGCTCAAACCGTTTGGTGACATCCCCTTACCAAAGGACTCGATTCATGTTCGTGGTTGTGGACCCAACGTGCCGTGCCCGTCCTCCACACATACGTCAGTCTCGCGCGTTTGACGGTCACACTGTCGTGCGGTCGGCGCGTGCGGTCGGTTTCGACCATGGAAGAAAAGGAACATAGACCACAACCAACTTAATGGGGGGTGTCCCTTTTTGAGCTTCACACCCGTCTCTGCATGGAGACCTGACGCAAAGGAGAAGGTTACCATACAAGTCTAACGACCCAGTAAAACCAGGTCGTTTGCTTGCTATGATTTGAATGGTGTTTTGGTATTACCAACTCCAGTAAACTGAGGTCAGACTGACCTGTATACAGCGCTAGTCTTGAGCGTCTCGACCCTTCATGGCATCCGCCGCTTCCGCCGTTCCAGACCGGCGAAAGGTGATGATGCCCAATGAGGCTGGCGCGAGCCCCGAAGAGCTGGGCGAGGGATTGAGGGTGTACAAGATATCGAGGGCGAAACCTTCTTGATATCTGACAAAGGCACATCAAAAGTGGGATCGAGACGCAACATATCGAGACGCAAGGACACAACATGCAGAGCATTGCAGAGCTGATGTTGTACCTCGCCAATTCCAGCATAAAGCAATGAGCTTCTGTGCTTGTTTGGAGACTCGTAGAGCTTCTGCAGATATATCAGAGAAACTGGGACGTGTTTGTGTGTTTACAGCTTGGTCCTAGCCCAGTGCCACTAACAGTTAGAGTTAGAGACCCTTAAACACAGCCTCCTCCCTCTCTCCCTTCCTGCCTCCGCATCGTCATTATCATCCAGGAGTGACAAAGGGGTGGGTTTTTAGTCCCATGCAGTGAGTGGATGTGACAGGGGCACCCAACTCAGAACCGCCAGAGCTGAGCTCTGCGACTCTTGTTTGGAATCTGAGCTTGGTCGTGGTTTCTGATCTGCCTCTTGACAACACTCACAGGTGGCCAGCCACAAGTCTAGCTTCACTGACCTAAGTGACGTCCCGGCCATGCGGGGGAGGACCCCGACCGGTCACCGGGGTGGGTGACAGAGGAGCGGTTTCGAAGGTTGGAGGCCAAAAAGAGAGGGTAGAATTTGGGTGAAGAAGCTTGATGACAGATGAAAACACAGTAGGAACAAGTACCTTACTAGTAGTAACAAGAAAACACAGGTGAGAGAAAGATGCATCGGGCCTCGGGTGAGAAAAAATAGATGCACCACGGAAGAACGAGATGCATCGATCAGAGCAGGAGCTTTCTCGGCTTAGCCGGCAGACCAAAAACGAATAAGACAATGGATCCCGAGACATGAACCCTGAGAATCAAGCCCAGAGCATCCATCGGATTGGGATAGTGACATACATTTACCCCATGAAAATGACCCATCCATGTAGGTAACTCTTGAAACTATTGCAACTATTCTGCGTCCCATTCTGGGCTGGACGCGCCGGTGAAGGGGAATCACTTCACTCGTCCGTCCAACGCCCACGGTTCGTCCGCCGGGTCTGCGGTTTGCAGTGCTCTCCAGACGTGGTCGGGTCCAGTTTGATGGTTTAGGAACGTGAAGGAAGATGTTTCTGTTGGGCCATGTTGGGCCAACAGAGGACCAGAGGACCAGAGAGGCGGGTCCCAATATCCACGAAGCAGATCATGTAGAAATCTGCAGAATCTTGATGATATCAATTATATATTAACATCAACAAACATATCATACCCCCCGAAGCCTGAAGAGGCGTAACGCAGCGTTGACCATCCAAATCGGAGGTTACTTGACCTGTGGCTTCTACGCCACACGAAGTGGGTCGGTCAGGGTATCGGGGGATCGGTGGCAGATGGGCTGCCCCAGCGGGTCGTCACGAACCCGGGGCGCCTCCCGCGGAGAGCAGACCACCGGTCAGCGGGAGCAGACCACCGGTCGGCGGGGCATCCCGGTCCCAAACAGGTGAACTTACTAAAAGGATATCTTCACAAGCTCCAACCACCAGAGTCAAGCATTTGGTGATTTCATCGTCTTGAACTTCCATCGTCTTGGACTTCCAGCGACAGTGAGGTCCACTGGAATTGGATGTGAAGCGTCCGCTCGGGATGTTCAGATCGATCGAGCGGACGCTGTCCTCGGACGCTTGTGAGGACGACATGGTGCACTGGCACGCCACAGTTCTTGGGGAACGAGGCCAAGAGGAGAGATCAGGAAAAGACGGAAGTTTGATCAGTTTTGTTGAGTCATTGACAGGAGGGATGTTTCTAGACCCTTTGAGCTGGTCTTTTGTGTTTATAACAGACTTTGCAGGGAGGACTGTCCTCCGAGCCCTGCGGGTTCAGCCTTGCAGGTCTTAACCAGTTCGGACTTGAAGCAGCAACGCACTGAGAGTGGTTTGACGCAGAATGTCAAGACACGTGGATGTCTTCCAGCAGGCTGTATGTTTATTGTCTTTGTGCTTCTAGAGTTTTGTTTCCCATGCTCAGAGACAGAAAAGCATTGCAACTCCTGGTACCGCCTGCAGTCTCCAAAGTACCCTGGAAAATCCCAACTGTGTTCGGATGGTCCATCGAAAACCTCACGAGACTTGGAAGCCATGCCTGCAGTCTCCAACACTTCCCTTCACGCCCCGCCACGCACCGCCACGCATCGGCGCGCATCGGCGCGGAGCGTCGGCGAGAATGATTGGAGCACCTTCAAAGACCTACACTGGAAACACCCGTGGCAGACCAGAGAAAACAACCAATAATACCCCTGCTAGTCCCCCTGCTGTTTGCAGGATCACGCAGCGCTCCACCACCCTGCCAACTGTTCCACTGTGATGCATCGACCAGTCATTAGACCAAATCGGCACTCGCCGACCCCGAACTTCTCCGTGGTACTCCGGGCTATTGCGCCCAGGAAAGACAAGAAGGGAGCATTGCTGCTGGGCGGCAGTCGCGGCCGTCCGGGCGGGATGTCCATGATGACGAAAAAATTGAAGGTGACCTCGGTTCTCAGTGTCGGTCTGAGTCTTTGTCTGTGTCTTTTTGGGGCCAGTCTACCTGTGAAGGGTTATATACCAGGACCCACTGTCGGGGTGGTTAATGGACACCCCTTGACCTCTAAGGAGCTATCAATAGAAACCCCTTAAGGTGTCCTGATATAGGGGTACATGCATGCGCAACGCACGCATGGACCGCTGATCCGGGCTCCCTGAAGGGCTCCCTTCGGTGGTCGGTACCACCGAGGTCCCAGACCGGTCTCCATATGTAGCGGCATCCCATACAAGGGGCATCGTCATGGATGATCCAAAGGTGCTCAAGTGTCCAACATAGTCACAAAAACAAATATAGTCCCAACCATCGGCTATACTGGATACCTGTGTTAAGTCGTCTGGTCTTGTAGAAAGTCGTTTGGATGCCGCGTTTACATTGGGGTTAGATGCAAGATGGCAAAGATGTTCGGATTTCGTCAGAGGTCTCGATCTTACTTTGTCCCTGGCGCCACTGCTCCTCAGCTGCCAGGACTGGCGTGTTTATCCCCACGTGTGCACCTTGGCTCATTCGGGCCATTGGACATTGTTTGTTGACCTAAACCGCCTAAACCTATATATTAAGTTTACATTATATAATCATTCTGTTCATTTGCACATGTGCAGTATATATTGATGCTTTGCAAGTTTTATTGTATCCTTTAACAGAACTGTTAAAGGAAGGTTTGAATTGGGTGGTTTGCGATTGGTGTAAATCACCGCAGAGAATCTCCACTGTCGAGCCCACGACGATTAGACGCGAACACCGCAGACGAGCGGGGCAGGCTGCGGACTGGTGGATTGTGCGGACCCGCAAGTCATACCCAGACACGACCCGTCGGAGGCATATATTCCATACATGGAGCGTCTGTGATATAGATTTGGCACCACGGACTCCAAGAATTTTAGGATCCACAAGATTGTCAAGATGGATCCGGGCAGCTGATCGATCCATTTGGTGGGAAAAGAAGAAAGATAGTTCAACTAACACCTGGTTTTGGCCACTTCTTCCGGTGTTCCCCATCCCTGGCCGCCATCCAGTTCAGGAAAACATGTGGGGCGTGCTCATTTTTCTGCGCTTTTACTACATCGCACCTTGGACCCGACCGACCCCGGACGGACGAGCGGGTTCAACGGACCTTGGCCGAAGGACCAGACCTGAGGGGTATGAGCACTCCGAAGCGAAACATGAGCACTCCTGAGCGAGCGATGATGAAGACCTGTGAGCCACGCCGGTTTTGCAAAGGACCTGCGCGGATCCGAATCGGGTCTGCACGTATGACATCGCAGAAAGAGAATCTGATTCTCCCTCTAAGGCTGGTCAGGCAGGCATTTGGCAAACGCTTTGCGCCGTGTTGCTCTCCTTCACTGCCGCCTTTTGTACCACTGCGGCCCCTTCTTCAGAAGTCGAACGAGTCGATTTTGGTCGGTCGACCTGTTTGGGCTGCCGGCTGGTTCGGGGTGCTAAACCGAAGCGAAGCGCTAGATGCGCGAGCTTTTGGTGCGCGGCTTCGCTTTCTTGTTGCAGGTGACCTCAGAAGTGACACAACATGGGCGATACCGTGGGCCTTTTTGCAAGTCGGGATGTCGGTTGGTGTGTCGATGGACGAAGGTGACCGGTGTGTCTCTAGACGTGTGTTTAGAGGGGACAGCCGGCCACAGCCCGAGTGACAATCCAAGCTGATGGCAAGCAACACATTTTGACAGACATTGGAACAGCCTAGATTTCATTTGTTGAGTTTTAGCACAGTTTAGGCCAGAACGCGCGAACGCGGACTTGAGGTGTTTTGTGATCCTTCAGTTTCATTAATTTCGAGGCTAGTTAAGCACTTTGCTAGTTTTCCTCCTTCTACTGTACCTGAGAGAGTATTTTAAAAAGCTACATGTAAGAAATTGGTATTCGCATCAAAAAGATAAACCCCCGATGACTGTGGAAAACCCTTGACATGCCAGGAGTGGTGTGAAGAAAACGCGTGCACACACACAAACAGAAAACCACTACTGTTCCAAATTGTCAGGGTCAATGCATGACTGCTCTTGGTTGGTATGTGCTTGGACAGAGGTGGGAGGACGTGGACCGCTGTAGCCTTGTGCTACAGCAGTGTTGTGCCACATGGTTTTCAACTTGCACCAGGCATGAACGCGACAACAAGAACGATAACACAGCGAGCCCAAAACACCTTTCCGTAGGCAGGCCACCACATGGGTGTAGCTGGAATGAAGTGTGCCTAATGTCTTCATGCCTGCAAGCTTCCACACACCACATCCATGTAGCGCACACACTGCATTATTACATTTATTGCAGTTTGTCAAAGTACAGTCAGAGTGCTGTAAAATGACAAGGAAGAAACACCGATAACAGCAAAAGTGGTATAGGGAAAGATTAGAGGTTTTTTTTCTGTATACACAACCTCACCTGTTTGTGGACATCGCCAACAGTATCGTGTCCCGTATCGCTCAGGCGATGTCATCGATTGCTTCGTCCGGCGGTTTGGTGAGCTCTGGAGGGCCTTACTACATGATCTCCCGCGCACTAGGCGTCGTCTTCATGGCGTCGAGACCCGATGTCTTTCGGATTCGTTTTTTGGGACGCACGCCCGAGTGAACGCGCAGAGGTGGCCACCGTGTCTAGCGTTAAAGGCAGGTCACCGGTTTAGACTGGTGACTGGTGTGTGTTTTTTGGGGGTCTGGCTCGGGGAGAGGATGCGAGAGCGTGCTTTGAGACATTGGGTGTTGGGTCTTGGGTCTTTCGCAGGTCGGCCCATGAATAGAGAGTGGATGACTGGTGCAAGCTTTGTTGGTGGGTCAGATGTGAAGCCATTTTTTTATCCTAGCAGTTTAGCTTCAAAATGCTTCAAACGTCTTCAGAGTTCACAACCAAGAGATGACCATTCTTGGTACTTGTATCCGCTTAATCTGAACTCCAGCACTAATTCTATGTGTTTGTCTATTATAGATGTTTTTTTTTGGTTAAATTGTTTGCAAAGAAACCCTGATGCCATTCTGATGACGCATCTTCATTGCCAAGGATTCGTGATCGTCTCTTCGAAATCTCATGATTTATCCTTGCCAAGTAGGTTTGCCAAGAGAGCTTCAGAGGCTCCTGTGGGTTTCATTTGAAAGATGACTCGACCCCTGTACTATGTACACCACCACCCTGATCTAAAAAAAAGATCACACGCTCAAGCTCGCGCGTTCGCTCGCTCGCGTTTTCGCTCGGGCGGGTGGACCAGGACAGTCGGGGGGGATGACGGGACGGCCTCAGGGCCTGTGATTGGCGCCACGATTGGAATCATGTACTGGTTGGCCATCACCATGCTGTCAGTCCCTTGGGCAGCAAAGAAACCCCGTTTGCAAAACGAAGTCGACCGGGAGGCGAAGTAAGTAGCCTTATTAAGCTTATATAGTACACTATATAGCTCGATTTTGGTATGACTTTCATGACATCTACTTTCCGTAGATATGCCTAATGTGATCAGAAACTCAAACTGTTTGGTTTGCACGACCATGCGGGTTAAAGGTCATGGACAGATACATAGTTGTTGCTGTTCTTCGATATGTTGCGAGTCGAGATTCTGGACCGAAATTTCATTCAATCCTTGTGCTTGCGCGCTGGTGTGCATGTGTCAACTCCTGTCCCCAAGGAGCTCTGTCACACCTGTACAGCTAAGCAGGGGGGCAGAGAGGACGTGCAAGGAGGCTCTGCCCAACGAAGCTCTTTGCACCAGGAAGCGGGAGCTGATCACTCCTGTGTACCTGCTATCACTTTCATTTGCTCTATTTGAACTGTCCACTCCGCTGTCCACTCCAAAAGTGCTACAAAAGCGCCTTTGTTCAAAAATTCTGTTTGGCTGACGCTTCACCTTTCCGTTCTGCAAGTCAAGGTCTAGCTTTCAGTAACGTAAAGTGCTAACCTCACGGGAGTTTCCAAACTGATACAGCTCTTGCGAGCATGGATCTAAGTGCGTTTCGCAACAGGGTCCCACTATGTCCCGCTGAGGTCTGTTGTGTGATCCCTCAGGGGTGCGTTGAGCATAGACCCTTAAGGGGGATGTCGTTCCTTTGAGCAAGCGTTTTGCAGGAACCACTCAGGATTATCGTCCCTTCTTGCGATTGCTCCTCGATTGCCGCAGGGCCCACTGAAAAACACTCACAGAATGAGATGACATGCTGCTAGTGTATTCTTTTGCAAGTTTCATCCTGAGTGATTCATGCACGGTCTTGCTTTCTCTCCTTCTAGGGTCTTTTCTCTTTCTAGGTGTTCGTTCGTTGCTAGAGCTTGTTCGGTTTCAGTCAAGGGTGCGCCGGATTTGGCTTCATGCCCGCAAGGGCTTCAACCCCTCCCCGCACGCACCCCCCACCCCCCCGTTTGTTAGGTCTTCTTTCAGGCTTGTTAGGTTGCGTTTAGGCTCGTTTTGTCGATCCACAACCCCCCACTCGGCAGAGGAGCGCGAATTATGGAGGAAGCGCCGAATACGGCAGGATGGAAAAGACTTTGGTCGATCACGGTCCGCCGTGGGTCTCCAGGTGGACCAAGAGGAGCCTTCCTTTTTTCGACAGATGTGTTGCGGCGATTGGAGCATCCTAGCGGTCGCAATTCATGGACAGATCACAAGGACACCAAGACACCCTATACAGTTACAGCAAGCCGAAGACAATACTGCAAAACCGTATTTTATTGGACATAGACTTGTGGAAGCCACCCCTGGTCCAATTGTCGAATTCTGCACCCACAAACTACACCCGTGCAGTCATCACACGGTGCCTCCCAGACGCACTTGATTGGAAGTCCCAAAGACAAACAGAATGCAATACATGCTATGTCATTGACCACATGATTTGCAGCATGAACTAATCAAACATCTTGAACCTGGGCTGGCTAAGTCCAAAACTTTCAAGCAAAGCCAACATGCACATGCCACCACTTGCCCCAGATGTTTCACCACTCAGCGCCTTCGGTGTGTGGATTTTATATGATTTCATGATCATCACCCGGTCACTCTTGTTTTTTTCTTGGTGTGTGTGTACCTCTGAATACAATAGTCCTCGTCTCCGGATGTGATTTTGCACGTGTTTTGGTGCCTGGCTGCTGCTATGACTGTCTACCCATTGGTTGGCTGTCCCCCTCTTAAAATACATTTTCGTGGCGGGCCCCCCGGGCCCCGTCGTGTCGTTTTTGTTTGGTTCCGAAAAGAGGTGATCTGGGGTATCGAGTGGACCACCCCACAGCCCGGGGAAACCTGGTTGTTTCATGGTCCACAGACTCGAGGTCTTAGAATGCTTGGGCGCCATCGAGGCGGTTGAGGGCACGGTGGCGTTTTCGAAAACGACGACGACGATCCGGTGTGGTGTTTGACCATGTGTTGGGTTCTAAGTCGTTCCTATCTCAATATGAAGGATGCCATTCCTATCTCAAGTTTACGATGTATACCCTCCCTGAAACCATGAAGTGGAAGTGGAATACAGCCTGTTCGTAGAGGAAAACGGGCCATGTTCCACGTAACATCACGTAACCATGTTTAATGGATGGAGGGTAGACATGGGTAGACATGCTGTCATGAAACATTCCCCAAGAGTCTTGCCCTGTTCAACTCGTTCGTTTTTGACGCCGCACCCTCCAGGCATTGGCGATGGCGGCACCCTCCGTGCAATTCCCAGGCGCGCGGCAGAACGAACGCGGACAAATTTGGAAGAGCTTCAGTGTAGGGGGGGGATACTAGTAGAAGCGAAGAGAGACCTAGAAATTGGTGCCAAAGTACATTGACCAAAGGAAGCTCCAAACCCCCCAATTGATGAGGTGCGACCAACATAAAGAGCACTCCACTTCTCTTTTTTCGTCGAACATCATGGATGTGGTGCAGTTCGATCCAATTTGTTTTTTTTCCGCTCAACCGGGTTAACCTTATGGTCAGTGTCAACCTTCTCTCTTTCAGCCAGATGGTTTTTGGTCTGTTCTGTTCTGCTCAAAACCTTCTGTTCCTTTTCGGCCAGAAAAAAAGAACATGGCCGCACTTGGCGACCCCGCACTCTGCACGCAAGTCTCGGACCGCGCGGTGTTTGTTCTTTTTGGTGGCCAACGTCTCTCTGCTGCGACTGCGCCGTATGTCGTCTCTCTGCTCCGACCGCGGGTTCTCCAGGTTATCGACAAGCACTGGGCTCCGCCGCCATGGCCTCTTTGGCCTTCGCGGTGTGGGGAGGCGACGACCAACGGTACCGAGATGGGACCGATCCCGACGTGGTGATGTCTTCAGATCCCGACGTGGTGAGACCTGCTCCAGACTTGTCTGACTGAGGGTGGTTTTGGGGTGGAATCCAGTCGACTATGCCGTTTGAGGTACGACTGGAGGTGGTGTAGGGTATGGAATGGAAGACTGTTGATGTTTGATGATGTGAACGCTTGGATTGGCGAGACCACGCTCGAGCTCGATTCATCGATGGGGAGACATGTGGAGATGGCATGCTTGCAAGAAAAGATGTGTGGCTCCTGTCGAAGGACGAGTTCTAAGACTTGCATTTAGAGGACATAGAGTAAGCTTTCTAGAATTCAGAGCATGCCAGCTGGACCAGAAATGCTCACAAAAGTAAATTGTTGGTTGCCTTTTGGGATGCTTTGTTGCTTCAAGCAATCACTTCAACAATATAGGTGACGTGAACATCGTTGAACTGTTCGGCCTCCATGGACAATGGAGAATCGCAAATGGATGCAAATGGCTATGGATCAAAACCCGTTGAACCGTCAGAATGAGCCTCATCGACTATCAGGAAGGTCAACCAACTAGTGTGTTGAAGACTCGCTCTTGTGCAACAAACCGCACATATCCTAGCCCGTCTGTGTGGGAATGGTCGGAGCGAACAGTGTTTGGACCGGTCTCACCCCATCCCTGGGCTGCGAGAGGCATCAACATCGTCACCAAGCTGGGCATGCTGTTTGCGCTGGTGGTGGTCTTTACACTCTTTAGCTTCTATCTTGGCCTCTTCATGACACAGCCAGGCGTCCGTCCGTCGCGCAAAAGATGCATTTTTTGCACCTGTGGAACATGGATCATCTTAGAACGCTGGAAGTTGACGACGGCAGGGTTCACCTGCTCAGGGAGTGTAGATCTCGGTGGTCGCCGTATCATTACATCAGGAACTCAAGGCCCATTGGCTCCTCCATCTCCAGCTGAGCACATCCGTTTCACGTGAAACGGTTTGTCCACCGTTTCCCGCGCGGTGAGGCGCTGGGGGTCCAGATGTTCCCGGCAGTGAATACATCACAGGACTCAGCTGGGCACCTTGGATGTTGTTGGATCAGGATTTGGGCGGTGTACATGGGTGTGTATTGAAATAGGGAGACCTCCCAGGCAACGACCTCCCTGAAGAAGGGAACATACACCCAGGTGTACATGAAAACCATTTGATGAGGAGCGCATCCCAACGCTCGGATTGAGTGGGTGGAAAGACCAGACACGGACGCCCACACATGTCTGATGTTTTGGGGTCCCAAGCAATATATATATATATATAATCCACCTGGAATTGTAGGCACTTGCACTTTATGAGAAGTTTCATGGCAAGAAGAAGCACAAGCTTTGACATGCCTGGCGCTGGCCAAGCTGCTGCAGCTGTGGAAGTCTCCGAGGACACGTTTCAGAACAACTGGAGCCCTCACTATGATGAGGGCGTTCACTTCGGCTCTGTCCTCAGCCTCTTCTATCCATGCTTTACAGGCGCAGAACCGGAGAGAACGGGAGGGACACACTCGGTCGCCGCATGATGTCGTGCGCAGTAGACAGAAACACATCGGAGCAAAACAAACTGAACAAGCAATTTGTTTATCACTTGGGCCTTTGTTTTTCTATGTCTAAGGAGAAGCACACCAAGCTTATACCAAGCGTGAAAGGAATCTGTATCGCTTTATAGATTTGTATGCACTTGTCCAGACACTCCCGATGGGACTGCCATTGTTGACTCCAGAAATGGCCAGGGGTCGGAGGTCTTTCGATCTGGGGCGGCATATCTTCCAGTCCTATGATGGCTTGGTTGAAGGTTTCGATGTAATCTGCTACTCAAGTCCAGTCCCAACTAGATAAGCCCTAACGACATATATCATCATCACACATCAAAAAGGGCCTCTGAGTTTATGGTGGATGAATTGCTTGTATATAGGACGTTCCAAAAGGGGGGCAATCGGATTCGCAAAAGGACATCAGGGCATCGGAAAGGCTTGGACCCCTGAAACTGTGCCAGTTCTGTGTTCGCTTGCGCTGCGAACCATGACCTTACTACCATACTTGAGACAGCATGACCCTATACGTTTGCATGTGAAGGTCGAACTCATTTGCCACAGAGGCATCGGCATGGACGTTGATGGGCCAAAACTTGGGCATCACGCAACAAGATCCGTTTGGGAGTATCCTCATGCTTCCTCCTGCGCGACAGTCGCTGCCCGGTTTCCTTCATTCAACAAAAAGGCAGCTCGGCTCCCGCATCAAGTGGTACAGCTTTGCTCCCTTCCGACATGAATTGGCTTTATCCAATCAATCCCCCTAAAAGCAGAACACATGTAATTCTCGGAACAAAGTGAAAGTCAGAAACTCTTTTTGTGAGCACCACTTTCTAAGTGGTCGAACCCCCAAAACCCGAGCTTTCGGGATTGCACCCCGGCTTGCCACAGAGAACACCTTGGAAGAGATACATGGAACTTGAAAATCACTGGTTTGTGGAGGAAGCTAATCTTCCAAAGGAATGGATTCCAGCTCAATCTTCCTCGTCCTCCTCTCTTCTCGAACGCCAGGCATTTTGAGCGGCGCGAATCGAGCCGACGTGCTCAAGGCCCGTTTCTTTTTCCGCAAAAAACACGTGGTTCGGTCTGTTTTGCAGGGTTTCATGGTGAGAGTTCATTTGGGCACGCCCTAGGGATCCAGGTACTTGGACCTCCAATGGCTACATCATTAACAGTGTCTCCAATCACCGTACCTGAGAAGGTACGACTGGATCCTTGTGGGGTATTAGAATAGGGAGACCTCCCAGTTCAACCCCCTGGAAGAAGGGAAATAGACCAAAACATACCAAAAACCGATTGGTTGGAGGTCTCGCTATTGATGCTAATACACACCCATTTGTTTGAGAGAACACCAGTCACCAGTCCACATAGAGAGTGGAATTGTCCAGAAATCTGACATTTCAAGATGTCGCCGAGAGTCTGGTCAAACCATCAGTTCCCTTCCATCGAAGCTCCTCCTCCTCACCGGAAGAACGCGCCCGACCAAAACGGCGAGGATCCCCCGCGAAACATCCGCCTCGGTACCTTTGCGGCGATCCTGCCTTTTGGACGGAGCCGCGCGCCGCCGGGCCCCGCGCCGGGCCGACCTTGGCGGTGAGTCCAGGGCGCCGGAGCTGGGGGAGTCCGTATGGGAACATCTAGAGCTACATAAAGCTACATCATGACATCACAAAAAACACATCAGGGTTGCCTCACAAATTCCAAGATCGGAGTCTTGGACGAACACTGACGAAGGTTTCTTTGAGGCACAAAAAGGGCACGACACCTTTTTCTCTGCGTCAACCGGAGGTCCGGATGGAGGGTCTTCTTGAACACCATCCCCGGACCCTCTATGTGTGGAATAGTTGCATGCATCATTGACCCCACGAACATGGCACTCAGTGTATATAGATCTGTGAAACTAGCATGGCTGTGGCATGAACACCTTGACACCAATTCCCTGCGGTGATTGTGGCCCAATCCCAGGGGCCGTAGCTTCGTGCGACCTTCAGGTCCTTTTTACCCTGGATGGCCTAGGAAAAGCTTCGCGAGCCTGGCAGCCTCTCCACTTTGACAGTGGTAGCGCGAGCTACTGGGCGTGCGATAGCCAGGAGCCTTTGGGGAGGACGACTTGATGGGGGACGTCGAGCAGGGCTTTTCGAGAGCGGCCGGAGGCTACGCTTCCACCAGTGGAGCGGCAGGACCACGGACGGAGGCGGGGAGAGACCGGGATCCCCCACCGGGGTACGATGGGATAGATCCTGAAACTACTTTCCGCCAGTACGAGAAGCAGGTAGCGCTCTGGGAGTTTGAGACTGATGTTGCACGAGCAAAGCGGGGCGTGAAGCTCCTCCGTCAGCTCTCAGGCATAGCCCAGACCGCAGTGGACCACCTCGAGGTCGACCAGATCACCGGGGAGGACGGCGTCAAGAACCTCTTGACGGCTTTGCGGGAGTACTTCAACCCGCATTTAGAAGTTTCCCTTCCTCGGGCCTTCGAGGCCGCAGTGTACGGTGCACCACGAGCTTCCAAGGAGACCTTTGGCGAGTTCACCAAGCGAATGGAGAGGGCATTCGTGAACCTGGCCAAGGAAGGTGTTGATCTACCAGATGGTGCACGGGGGTACATCATGTACCGTCAGGCGTCCCTGTCCGAGTCTCAGGAGCAACGACTTTTGACATGGGCCCAAGGCTGCTATGGGCGCAAGGAGATGACAGTGGCCCTCCGCAGGTTAGATAAAGTCATCCGGGACAAGGAGAAGGGGAAGTCCAGCTTCGTGATGGAAGAGGGTCACGAGGCTGAGGTCCACACCAGTGAGGCCTATTTGAATGAGGACTCCGGCTACCCGGACGACGACGATGAGAACTTTGTGTACATCGCGGACGGCGACTTGGATGAAATCATGGACGAACAAGAAGTCGTGCAGGCCTTGGCATCCTACCAGGAGACACGCCAGGCATTGAAAGACCAGAGGCTCAACCGGGGCTACTATCCCGGGAAAGGAAAAGGCAAGCTCAATGCCTTCCAGAAAGGAAAAGACAAGGGCAAGCGGAAGGTGCACATCGAGCAGCTGAAGCTTCGATCAAGATGCAAAAGGTGCCAACAAATCGGGCACTGGGCTCGGGAGTGCACCAATCCACCGGCTCCCACAACTGGAGAAGGCCGAGCTTTCTTTGTTGGCTTAGCCCCTGAAAGCCAGGGCTCCCGCGGCGAAAGAGATTTCTGGCTGCGGCAGTTTTTGCAAGACCAAAAGGGTCAAAGTTCTTCGAGCTCACCAGACAGCAAGGCAGATGCGGCATACACAGAGCACCCGGCATTTTGTGGAATCACCACCAAACCAGTTGAGGGGGTTGTTGATACAGCAGCTGAAGGGGGTTTGATCGGCTCCGTTCCACTTGTTGCACTACAATCCGAACTACATGCACGAGGGCTTCAAATACGATGGACACCCAAAAGATCACAAGCAAAGGGAGTAGGCGGCAATGCACAGGTTCTTGGAGTGGCTCTGATTCCTATTGGGCTAGGGGGCATCAATGGAGTCTTGGAAACCACGGTGATAGAGGGTGATGTGCCTTTCCTCCTTCCCATTCGGATGCTTCGCGCTCTCGAATCGTTGATCGACTTGAAACGTTGCACTTTGACACTACAAGCACACGGCCGAGTCATAGATTTGAACGTTTTGCACAGTGGACACATCACGGTGAACATTTTCTCATTTGCCAACGGCCAGTTCATCACACCGGAAGAAGTCGATGCATCCATGTCTTTTGAGCTGCAACCTCAATGTTTCATGTCAGCTATGAGTTCTCAAGGAGAGCGCAATTCGCAATTCGCTCACGAGCCAAGCCCCGCACCTTTCCCACTTCGGCACCATGGCGGGCATCCTCCAGATGGCAAGAGGCTTAGTGGGAAAGCATCCAACGGTGGATCCTACACCGATGGACACCGGAGCTCGTGTTGTGAACCCAAAGGTTCCACTCCGGAACTGGAGGGTCGTGTTGGACAAGATTGCCACCATCCTGGTGCTCGCCGCCCTCCAAGGGGCTACGGAAGAGTGGTGTTTGGAGTTGGGGCCATCGCAGCTGGCATCCAAGTCGGCGGACAGCATCGAGGACTACTATGCCGAGGTGATCCTGCGCGCGGCTCCATTGAAGCCGCTGAAGTCGAAGACAGACCCTACAGTCTCGGCGAGTTCATGCATTCACCCGAAGGCCCAACTCCGTGGGGGAGGCAATGGAACCTCCTCGTACGTGGTGTGCCGAGCATGCCATTCCAGATGGGCCCTAGAAGGAAGAGCAGCCGAGATCCGGAAGCAACTGAAGCAAGGCCCCTTGAGCACACAACAGGACAGCCCATCCAAGACTCGAGGAGCTATGAGTTCGGCGCCCATGACACCGGTGCGAACTGGGGGACAAGCTGCAGACCCGACTTCGCCCATCTTCACTCCACCCATGAAGACACAAGGAGCGATGGTGGAAACCTGGGCTTCGCCGGCGATCTCCGAGCAGAGCTTGCACGAGATGAGGGAGAGTTTGAGGCAGGAGATGGACATGAACAATCAGATCATGCTGCAGCAGTTGAAGAAACGAGCAGGCCGCCTCCATGATCCAAATCTCTCAGGCGAGCTACGCCCAAGTCAACCACCTGGTGGAGGAAGTGAAGAAAACGGCCAACGCCACTCGGAACCAGGAGCTCAGGCAAGAAAAGTTGATGCAGATGCTGCTTCAACTACAGCAGGAACATCGCCCGGAAGCACACCCCGGCGCGGGATCGCAACACTCGCCACCAAGACTGCCACCGGGCTCCCCGTCCAAGGTGATGATGTGCAAGTGTCAAAAACCAGCGGAGATGCTGGTAGTGAAGAAGGAGGACAATCCCCGCAAAGGAAGGAAGTTCTGGAAGTGCGTCCTCCGCAAGTGCGACTACTTCGAGTGGGAGAACGAGATGGACGGCATGAGCGACGGGAAGAAGGCGGTCGTCCCGGAAGAGGTGGAGGTGCAGACAGTGGCTTCATCCCTGAACCCAAGGAGGTCGAAGAGCCCGAGATCGGAGGGGGTGGTTCCTGCGGTCGTGAGCATGTCAGCTCCATGCAGCAACTGGTCCAGGGTCTCCCAAGGATCCCGGAAGCATCCGGAGTCAGTGGTGATCGTCGACGACGAGGAGATCTAGGAGCTGCTTGGCAACGCTGTGAGGGCAAGAAAGGAGTCCGCTGGGCGAGAAGAGCTCAACGAGGAGACAACCCGTTCTTCGTGGTGGATAAGGAGCACTACGTGATGGTGAATGGAGAATGGGAAAGGGCACATGGAAATATTGAACCAGGTGCCAAGTCTGTCTATGTGAGGGCTTCGCTCACACCACGCGGGCAGTTAGAATGTGAAGAAGATCGGTTCAATGACCAGAAGCTGAACCGGTCTGAGAGAAGAAGATTGGCAAAGGCCATGAGAGACAGGAGTGAAGCCGTGAAGATCAGTGAACTATATGGCCCAGGCCGCATACAAGAAGCAGCAGAAGACCTGAGAATGACTACAAGCAGCTGTTTTGACCTCCTCACCGGTTGGAACCTATCCCAAGAAGCACAAAGGAAGGCCATGTGGAAGGCTTTGCGAGAAGAGAAGCCCGACTTCCTCATAGTGAGCCCACCATGCACAGCATTCAGCCAAATCCAGACCACAAATTGGGCACGCATGCTGCCGAAGAAACGAGTGGCGCTGCTGACCGCCGGGCTGGAACACCTGCAACTGGCAGCAGCGGTGATGAAGTGGCAGCTCAACCGGGGACGACACATCTTGTTTGAGCAACCGGCAGGCGTCACCTCGTGGAAAGAAGCCTGCATCCAGTCCATTGCCCAGAGGCCAGAAGTCCACACCATCGTCAACCACCAATGCCAGTTTGGACTGAACGTGGACGACCTCGGACCAAACAAGAAGCCGACCCGATGGATGTCAAGCTCTCAGAAAGTGCTCTCGCGGCTGAACCGGAGGTGCACGGGGGAGCATCAGCATACCCCACTCCAGAATGGCATGCCAGCCAAGGCTGCAATCTATCCTCCAGAGCTATGCCAAGCAATCGCTCTCGGAGTTGCCGAAGAGATGGAACCCCGCGAATGCTACGCGGTGGAAGAGGAAGATGGCCCTGAAGACGGTGACCCGGAGGAAATCCACGATGAAGAAGGAGATGGTCAAGGGGCCGTAACTGAGGTAGAAAAGAAAGCCCTTCTGAAGGTGCACCGGTCCGTGGGACACCCGCAAAACCAGGAGTTCATTCGTTTTCTGCGAGCAGCTCGAGTTCGGGGTGACCTCATTCGATGGGTTGCACAGGAGTTCAAGTGCGATGTGTGCGAAGCGAACCAGCAACCCAAAGTCCCAAGACCAACAGCACTGCCCCGGGCCTATCAGCCAAACCGAGTGCTCGGAGTGGATCTTTTCTACATTCCGGGTCCAGGAGGAGGAAACAACACCAAGCCTGTGTTGAACATGCTGGACTGGGGAACCAACTACCAGATGTGCGAGATGCTGCCCGGGAAGAACCCAAACGAAGTCTGGGCCGCCTACAGGAGCACATGGGCAAGAACGTTTGGTCACCCTGAGGTCATAGTCTGTGACATGGGCCGAGAGTTCATGGGAGAGGTCATCTCCAAAGCCGCGGCAGAGGGCATAGTGGTCCATCAAATTGCCAGCAAGGCTCCATGGCAACAGGGCAAAACCGAAAGGCATGGGGGACACATGAAAGAGATGATCACGAAGGCCCGCAGCGAGATGGTGATCCAAACGGATGAAGACCTTAAGCTCATGCTAGCGGAGGTGGAGCAGATGAAGAACCGGTACTCCAACCGAAGCGGGTTCGCACCTGTTCAACGACAGATCGGGCAATGGCCTCGGGTGCCTACCGAGATCACGGCAGACAACGCCATAGATCCCACACTGTTGGATGGAGTCCTCACCGATGACATCGAGAAGCTCCATGAAGTTCGAAGGATCGCCCACAAGGCCTTTTGCGAGTACAACGCCGACTCCACGATCAAAAGAGCCCTTCGATCTAGACCAAGAGTCTGGCGAGACTTCAAGGCGGGCGAGTACGTGTACGTCTATCGGGTGCCCAAGGCCCGTAAAAGACGACATGGAGTGCCGGATGATCAGCACGGCACGAAAGCCCGGTGGGTCGGCCCAGGGGTAATCATTACCCCAGACGGGGCAAATGTGTGATGATGGGCGAGCTGTGGAAGGTGTCCAGAGAGCAATGCCGACACGCCACCAACGACGAGAGAATGGGCATCGAGGCGGTGATCACGGAATGCCAAGACCTCATTGAGCAATTCCAAAGGAACCCCGACCGGGCCGCCTACAAGGACATCACTGAAGAAGGATGCCCAGAAGAAGAAGAACATGAAGAAGTTCAAGCAGAAGCTCGAGCGGTCCAATTCGAGCCTCAAGTAGAAGAATATGAACCCACTGAGTATGAGGCACCGGAACCGGAAGATCAGAATGCCCCAGAGGGGACAGAAGAAGAACCGCCGAAGAGGCGAAGGTCCATCGCCGAACCAGAGCAGAAGGCCCATCCAGAGAATCAATCTGGTGGAGAAACACCTGCTGAGAGATGGACGCACCCAGCTTTCCCGGAGGGAGTGCCGGAAACCCCGCCAGTGGCCAATGTAAGACCTCCACTGGACGCCTTGAGTCCAGAACTTCAGGAGGCGGCAGACCGACTAGACGACGTGCCAGGACCAGTTCGATGGCGGCAAGAGCCACCAGGAGCCAACCCATACTTTCAAGAGTCAGGTTGGTATCTACAACCCCTCGAGGAGGAGAGCTTGGAGGAGGAAGAACACGAACTGGACGTGGCGAGAAGAAGAACGTTGAAGGAATGCCACGACCGAAAGTGGAAAAGAGACAAATGGTCGTTCGAGTGGGACAAAGGCCAGCTGATTCGACATCACGAGAGGAGGAGGAAGGCCTGGTTTGATCCCCAAGTATGCGACGAGCCTCCAGTGCCAATGGAGTTCCTAAAGGAGGAGAAGACGATCAAGATGAAGTTCAACCAAAACCAAGAGCCAAAGACCTTGGAAAGGCACATACACCACCACGGGCACGAAACTCACTGGTGGAAGGGAGAAACCATCTTCTACCTGAAGAACCCCAAGGAGGCCAAAAGCTACCTGGCAGAGAAGAAGAAGGGCCAGGACGAAGCAGACCCGCGACTAGAGGATGAAGAAGGTCGCGAGGCATGGCGACAGGCAGATCTGTCAGAGTGGAACAAAGTCACCGGAAGTGGGGCAGTTCAGGTTCTAAGCCTTGAGAAGTCCCGGGAAGTCCGAGAGGAGCTGAAGAAAGAAGGAAAAGAAGACAGAATCCTGCCGACGAAGATCGCTCGCAGATACAAACCTGCGGAACAACCGGGAGAGAAGCCGGTCCGAAAGTCCAGGTTGTGCATCCGGGGAGATCTCGATCCAGATGCACTGGAACTTGAGCGGTTCTCGCCCACCTTGAACACGGTGAACTTCGGGCTGTTGCTGCAAATAGCTGCCAACGAGAACATGGTGGCGACCATCGGCGATCTGAAGAACGCCTTTTGCCAGAGTAGGCCTCTGTGCCGACCAAACGGCAAGCTGTACTTCCAACAGCCAAAAGAAGGGGTGACAGGGCTACATCCCGAGCAAATAGTCCTCATCATTGCAGGCTGCTACGGTCTGATGGATGCGCCATTGCACTGGCGTAAGAGCCTGACGGAGGACCTTCAAGCCCTTGGGTATGAGATTTCTGCCTTGGACCCATGCATCATGAAGCTCTACGATGGCAGCCGAAGCCGCCTCCTCGGAGCTATCGCCATTGAAGTGGACGACCTGTTCACTGTTGGACATGAAGAACATCATTCAAAAATGACCCAGCTGAGGAAGAAATACACCTTCGGGAAGTATGTCAAGCTGAAGGAAGAGCCCATGGGAGCTGCCTTCAACGGAAGGCGCATCAGACAGATGGACGACGGGGAGTTCAAGATTGACATGCAAAAATTCATCGAAGAAAGGCTCCCAGAGATAGAGTTGAAGAAGGGCAGAAGAAGCGACCGGAAGGCTCCGGCGAACGAAGAAGAAAAGGCTATGGCACGAGCCACATGCGGGGCTCTCAACTGGCTGAGTAAAGAAGGGAGGCCAGATGCAGCAGGTCCTTCGAGTCTCCTTGCATCCAAGCTCAGCCGGCTGACGGTGGAGGACATCATCCAGGGCAACCAAGTGGTCAAGGCCTTGAAGGCGAGCTCGGAGCTTTGCATCCGGATCCAGCCCTTGAAGAAGATGAAGATGAGCGTCATCACTGACGCAAGCTTCGCCAACAACGGCTTTCACTCCCAAGGAGGGCACCTCGTGATTTCTCACGAGAGCCAGCTTCGAGATGGAGTCCCAGCCAAGACGAACGTGCTGGCATGGAGGAGCGGTAAACTGCAGAGGGTGGTTAACTCCACCCTAGCGGCAGAGACTCAAAGCCTTTCCAAAGGCCTTGGAGAGCTCATGTGGGCGATGGTGTTGCTGAAGGAGCTGACTGATGGAAAGTTCTGCATCCAGAAGTGGCGCCAGAACATGGAGGACGATCTGATGGTTTTGAGCTCGATGCGAACCGAGCAGACGCTCCAGCAAGCTTTGGCGGTGGTGGATGCCAAATCGCTCTATGACCATCTTTCCAAAGATGGAGCTGGAGGGGCCGACAAGAGGACGGCCATCGAGATCCAGATCATCCGCCAGGACTTGCGCACCATGGATGGCGAAGTGAAATGGGTGGACCACAAGTCCATGCTCGCTGATGGCTTGACGAAAGTGGGAGGCTCAAATGAGGCACTTCACGAAGTGCTCCGGACGGGAGTTTTTAGCATCCGCTCCACAGAGGAGCAGATGTCACTCCGAGAATCCGCAAAGCAGTCCGGCAAGACCAACTCGGATCTGCGACGAATTGGTGTCAAAAGCATTTTGGGGAGCTGTGAAACTAGCATGGCTGTGGCATGAACACCTTGACACCAATTCCCTCCGGTGATTGTGGCCCAATCCCAGGGGCCGTAGCTTCGTGCGACCTTCAGGTCCTTTTTACCCTGGATGGCCTAGGAAAAGCTTCGCGAGCCTGGCAGCCTCTCCACTTTGACAAGATCCATAACTATTCCAGTCCCATGACTGCTCCGGGATCTCAGGTTTAGTTTGTTCCTCTACGTCTCCTTCTTCCTGCTCTGGGGAAGTGTTGCAACGGACTCCTACCTCAAGGGCGACTTCGTGGAGACGGCGCATGCTCACGAGCAGCATCGGAGGCCGGAGCACCGGGCGAAGGCGTACGCCGCGTGTTCAGGGGCCGCGTGTAGAGACTGGCAGAAGGTGGATGTTCATTGTTGCAGGTGGCAGGTGGTGGTTGGTCTCTCTCTCTCTCTCTCTGTTGAAACTGAAACCATTGCTTTTTTTCTTGACCTCAAACAATTTGCGTTTTTGTCTCCGTCCCACTCCCTTCCTCAAGACCCAATGAAAGGGAACTACCCCTCAAATGGTTTGGAAGGTTTTCTGGTCTGATGATGATCTTATACAATAAATGGCACAAAAGATTGCAAAAAAAAGACGTGTTTCCTCTGGTCTGAAATGTGATGTCCCTCCTGGCACGTCACTGCATGAGGGCTTGGCTTCGACACTCAAGTTGCAATTAATTCAAGACTTATTTCTTTTGCTTCTCTACCTACCAGTCACTTACAATTAATGACTGTCACATGAACTTTTATCTTGTATCACACGTTGTCACGATCGGATCCTCCTTGACGCTCTCCGCTCTCTAAAACCCGACCCTTCTCCGCTCTCCCCTCCTGCTTTCTGCTTCCGCGAGGCTCTCCGGAGAGGGCGACATCTCGGAGGAAGCGGGACGTCGCCTGGCTGAGCCGCGCTCGACCGGTCAAGCGGACGGAGGTCGAGTGAACTCTCGGGTCGGTCTCCGGGCGAGACAGCCCGGCCGAGCTCGAAGTCGACATCTCACCGGGCTCCTGAGACCAGGCGTTTTGGGACCTTTTGGGGAGGCTTAGCTTATTATAAGAGAGGGCTTTTTTCAGAGTGGAGAGGACCTACTGGTGGCCTTCAGGCTTGCGGGCTTAATGTAGAGAGACGACTGATAAGGGTGGAGAGGGGCTGACTTGAGAAGTTTACTCAGTTTACTCGTGTGCTTCTGCTTCTGCGTTTTTTTGGGTGCACTCATACATGAAGCGCCCCTAAGAATCATTGCATGATAAAGCTTTAAGAATCATTCCCTGAACATTCTGAACACCGCAGAGGAACCACGCCCCATCGGGCCCAGGTCACATCGTGCAGACGGAGCCTCGGCTGGATCGAAGGGGTCCGTTTTAGATCGACTTCACCAAGCAGCACCACCTGGTTATTGGGTGTTTTTTTTGGATGGAGACATAACATGACAGAACGTTGGGAGGTCTATAAACCACCCAACCTGGGTGGTGCTGGAAGACATTGTTTTCATTTTTTGTTTTTAGATCTCTGAACTGGGACCTGAACTAGTGGTACATGTGCCATAGGCCTTTATTGGTAGGCTGTTGAAGCTCTCTAGGTCAGCAAAAATCCATGCTACTTCAATTATATAATAACCTGGAAAGCCAAACGCCAAAAGTGTTCATGGTAAAGAATCCTAACCTGCATGTGGTTCTTGTCCGAATACATAATATTGTTTTTACCCGTAATGGTCAAACCTTACAAAGTATTTATTGCAGGCCTACCCGCAGTAAAGCCGCATTGTTTCGACATTTTGTTGATTATCCCAGCAAGAGACCCCAAACAGATCCAAACAGTACAGTAATATTGCAGAAGATCACCATGATGAGTGAGACAATGTTGTCCTTGTGGCAGTTATGGTGGTGGTAGTCATGGTGGTGGTGGTGGTGGTAGTAGTAGTGGTAATGGTAGTGGTAATGGTAGAGTGGTAGTGGTAGTGTGGAGGGGTAGTGTGGTAGTGGTAGTGTGGTGGTGGTAGTGTAATCTGCACTGTAAGGTTCACAAAGTGCTGTGCCTGCCACAAACATGTTGTTGAAAACACGCAGTAAACAAGATTCAATCGCCATAGCAACTGTCACAGAAGTGGCTCCAGATAATGAAAGCCGTAATGACCGAAAAGAATGGTCAAGACCCTTTGACCCTAAACAAGGCTAAGGATTATAGCTTTCCAGGTATTTATATATACACTTTAGGGGATCAGGGGATCAGTCACCATGTTGAGGCAAAGTCTCCGATCTCAGCTTTGGAATAAGACTTGTATAGGCCAGGGATCCGCAAGCGGAATCCCCCCTTGGGAAACCCGAACTGAGACTCGCCCGGCCTGAGACGAGACTCGGCGAACGCCACTCGGATCTGCCCAGGTGGTGTGGAATCCGTTTCCAAACTCCGCTTTCATAGGCCAACTCCGAGTGCGGGGTGGAAAAAGCGAGGGTTCGCTCCCCAGCTGCTTTAGCTTGGGAGGCTGTTTTAGCGCAGAGAGGTACATTTGGGGTCAGCTTTTCAAGCACCGCAGGTGGTTTTTTCGCCAGGCCCGCCAGGCTTGAAGTGTACTCGCTTGTTCCTGCTGTATCGGTTTCTGCAACTCTCAACTTCCGCCGTTCCGCGGTCCAAAATACTGAGCCCCCCATTCTTCTGATTCTTTAGAAAGCCTAGAGAGCTGAGTGAAGCTTTCTTTTTGGAATGGTCTATTTGTTTGGAAAACAAGGGACTTTCTCCGTTCACGCAGGCATCATCATTGCATCTCTCAGCCAATCCCTACAGTGCCTCATCGTGGCACCCCGTTTGCTGCAAAACATGGCCAAGGACGGCCCGTCGGACGAGACGAGCGGCGAGACGGCGTCGACCAGCGCGTCCAGGATAGCCCTGACACGACCCATAGCACTGGCAAGTTGACTCCCGATCACGTGGGTGGTTGCACCACCAGAGGTCAAGGTGGGTTGAGGCTTTCCATGTCATGTCCAGTCCCATGGAGTGGCAGGGTTGAGACCTGCGACATTCACCAGTCCCACTTTGGACCAACTTGGATGGTGTAGAGGTTCGCACCTTTCGCGCGGCCCATGAAGCGTGCGCCGAAATCCACCAATTTCATGACAGATTCAATTGACCCAAGAATGCCAAAGCGGTCGCTTTCCGTCTTCGCTCTTCGCACCTCTCATCCCCCTCGCACCCCCAAGCAGTGATCATCCAATCGAGGACCGCTTGATGCCCGCCTTCCGGCCGCTGGAGGGCTTGTCCTCCAGCGGCGAACCCGTCCGCGCGCTGCTGTTCACTTACTTCGCTGCGGCGCCGCGACCGCGACGGGCGACGGATCGGGGATGACAGGCATTTCTTGCATCGGTTTGGAAAGAGGGAGTGGTGTGGCGTGGAAGAGGTAGGGAGAATGTATACGTAGGTTTGGAGGTGTAAGTGTGTGAGGGTGAAGGTGCACACAGGTGTATACAGATTATTCCTGTATTTTGTGGTGAGTTGCGGAGGACATGTTTGGTCGAGTGAAGTGATCCACAGAATTCCACTGCTCTTATGTCGAAAGGTGCGGCCGGCCACAGCAGCATGGCATTGATTGGAATGATAGTATAAATTGGTTTGGTAGAAAGGAAGACGTCATATCAGGAGATCCGTGTTTGGGGTGTCTATTGGAGGGTAGCTGTGCCGATTCTCGAGTCACTTAGAGACTGAAAACAATTCCTGTAGGAACTGATGGTCACAGAATCCGTATGGGTGATGATGTGTGGTTTGATAATAGGGAGACCAAAAAGCAATTGGTTGGGGTTTCCCCAGTAAAATTGGCACCCATCTCTTATATTAACCCTAGCCCCAGAGGAATGCGTCCAAGAATTCTCCCACTGATTTGCGAAGAAGGAATTCCATGAGTTGTCCACGCACGTGGAAACAAGTGATTTTCCACCCCCGAAGCACACAGGGTGAAAGGGTCCAAGAGAAACATGCCCTTGGGCTCCAACTAGCTCCTGAGAAGATGATTGGGGTGGGTGCCAGGGGGGTCTAACCACCGAACCTGAGGATATGGGACAGCCCTAGGGATGACCGAGATCCTGCAGTCTCTTGTGTTCCTATAGGAACAGTCCTGCCTTGTGCAGAATCGCAGAAACGCACCCATTTTCTTTCATCAGCTGAGGCATTATTGGTGCTCATTGGGGAGCTGGAACTAGTGGCTCCACTCCTCTCCATGCGCCTGTTTCGATTTGGGAACACCTCGTCGTTTTGTTCTCTGGGTGGGTTTTTGAGGCAAACATGCAGGTTGCTGGTGTTTCTGTTTTGGGATATTTTGGACGATCTGAACTCCAAGGGTGTTGGAAAGCAAGTGGGTAACCCCTGTATGGAAGATCTGGCCCTCACACGCAGGGGCAGTCACTGGGGCGACGGTGAGGAGATCGATGGTTTGTCTTTCTCAAATTCGAAGAATGACGGAGCCGTGCTGGCTGAGCCGTGCTTCTTTGCCAGAATGCCGTGCTTGTCTTGGCTGCAGTTTCAGCACTGATACGGATTCAATTCTACTTGAATACAACATTTGCACGACTCTTCAGTTGGTATACAGAAACTCAACCTTTAAACCTCTCATCTTAAGCCTTAAGCCACAATCACATTCGACAGGCCTTTTCAGTAATCTGCAGTCAGACACCCAAGACTCCAGATTTTGGTCAAAATCCTTCAAAATCCATTCAACTCAATTTTCCGCTTCCCTTCCACATCTCAGCCACACCTGACTACAAAATCCTCTTGAGGATCCAACTGCTAAGCCCAGCCCAGATCCCCCAACAAATTGATCCCTTTGCCCCAACAAATCCGCCCTAAACTGCGCGCCTCATCCCTGCGCGCCTCGCCTAAACCGTTTTTCGGCCGAGCTCGCTCCAAACCGATGAATGGAGTGGTGCGGATCCATGGCGGGCGACGCCCCAGCAAGCGGGACGGCGGCGTCAGGCAGGAAGCGACGGCAGCGACGGCAGCGACGGTGGGGTCGGTGGAGGTCTGGACGATGGGGAGCAATCAAGGCGATGCAGCGATGCATCGCAGCTGTAGAGGAGATGTTAGCGACATTCGTAGTTTGGAGATGTTAGCAGCGTGCTCCACTTTCGCCATGGCAAGTATCCTAATTGGATCAAAACCCGTTGCCCAAGGGTGCTCAAAACCCACCTGGCTGAAGAGCCGTCAGGGAGTGCATCGAGGGCCGCTACATGAACCATGCGGCCACCGGTCCAGCTCAGCGGACGTTGAAAGGCCTGATGGGGGCGGTGAACACCAGGTGGGCACCAAGTTCTGATGCCATGGTTGGCACCTTCAGTTCATGACCTCTTGGAAGTCTTGAAGTGACCACATCCTATAGGATTTTTAGGGCACCTGTCGTGACCGAAAATCCGGAGATCTCAAGAGGACGGTCATGTACTGAAGGTCCTGAATCCCTGGTTATGGTTGTTCTTACTATACTGTGTTGATTTGGTTTGTAGGATCGATGTAGGATCGATGCAGCTTCTGTGCATTTCGACCCAACCTCGCCCTGGGAGGGGGAACGGTCCTTTGGTTTTTTCACAGATCTTCGGGGCCAATTCCGATCACACTTGGCCCCAGAAGACGTGCCATCCTCCGCAGTTCGGGATCCTTGAAAGACCCATCCTGCAGCGGGATGGGACCCCCACTCGCAGAACACAGATGGTTGCAACCTCAAAACGGCAAAAGATCATGAACGCGTGGAATGTGCCAAACGGCGTGGATGGCTTCATGTCCCCGTGTCTCAGGCGAGTCCAGCGCCCAGCTGCTCAATGGCTATAAGCCCCATGACACCGCGCCACCCAAAGGCGAGGAGAGACGGAGGTTTTCTGGGCCATGGAAACGGAAAAGACTCGGAGTGGATGCCATGGATGATGGATGTGTGACAAAGACCGGGCTCAAATTCGCAGGTGTCCACCGGGCTCTTTGTGCGGTTTTGATTGAATTCTGAGGTGCACAGTTGATTCTTTCCACTCGGTGTCTCGAATCACATCACGGTATATTGCATGTGTATTCAATTTCACACATATAATCTTGTTGAGCATACACTACTACTCCATGAGGTTTTCAGGGCCCGGATCGGACCGGAGACACCACTGATCGCCAACAAGCCGCTGTTGCACTCCGTAGGTGTCCACCCACAGCGGCCGCATGTGCCCCAACCGCACGCGCCGCGGGACGCGCCGCGGGACGCGCAGCTCGCAGCGCCGCGGGAAGCGGAAGCGCGGGAGGTGCCGCCGTGGATGCAGCCGCCGGTGCGGCGGAATCGCGACCTGGCATCGTTTCGGGTGAAAGCTGATTTCGTAGGGCTCAAAGTACCTCAGAAGGTTAGACCTCCAAATCCTCCACCTTGTCTTTGAAGCTCTATCACTAGGGGATGGAAGATTTGGGAACACTTAGGCAGCTTCCACCGGGCAAGTCATTGTAGAGGGAAACCAGGTTTCAACGGGATGGATGGCCAATGAAACGATTTGGGGTATCCTGGTATCCCAGCGCCACTATTAGCAGGATAATATATTGTAATACTATGGACCACTCGTCCATCAACCACGGCTGAATTCAGCATGAATTTTCTGATTCTTTCACCGCCCCTTCATCCTTTTAAACTCTCAGTTCCTGAAAGGGTGAATTGCACCATGAGTCGTTTTCACCGTCATTGTATACACAAGGGTGTTTCATCCAAGACTGTGATTTTGAGTTTAACCTGGAAAACGATACAGGGCGTTCAAAAGAAGATACTGTACCTGCAAAGATCCCTAAAGTTAATACAGCTTCCTTGGATGTTGATGCACCAACCCGCAAAACCCTGCAAAACGATATGGGAGGTCCAAACTTTGAATCACTGAACATATAAGTAGTATACGAGTATATATATACATACCTTTAAGTGACATGATCGTGTCGTGGAAGTGGACGTCCTCTATTTGGTATTTGATATACGGTATTTGCATGTCTTTGCCCTCCACGTCGCCCTGAACACGTCTACGATGATATTTTTTCACTATAGCAACTGGTCTAGCTGCTGAGTCTAGCTTTCCAAACCACCTCGCAGACTGTGAAGCTTTCCCTCCGCTGTTTCTCGTGGAACGCACCACACTCCTCGCCCATCTGGAGGCCACGAGGTGGCTGTGGTGCCGCCCTGGGCGCAAGACGCTGGGGCGGAGAGATCCGCGGTGACGTCGCCTCCGGGGTGTATCCCATTGGTATCCAGGGGATATCCCAGTACCAGCAACAGTGGGTAAAACATGAACCGATACTTCGACCAAGACCTGCAACTGAACCAGAACCATCCACTGAGCCCTGGTGAATGGGATATACTACCCAACATGTACCAATCAATTTGGGAGAGGTCTCCACAGCGCTCTTCGGGTCAGAAGTCTTTGTGCCACATCAAACCTTCTCAGTTTCGGTGGGACACATCCACCTTCTGTATAGTATATATGGGTCAGTCAGTCAGTGTCAGTGTGTATGGGGAAGGTAGCTCAAAACTAAGGCACGCACGAAAATTGCGAATATCATACCACCGACCCAGCCGAAACGGACATTCCATGGCATGGGATGGAACGGGTCGACCCCGATGAATGCGGAGGTTCATGCCATTTCATGCTTGGACGCATGGACGAAGCTAGCACTAAACCACGACCTGGTTACCTTAACCACGACACCTGCGGACCTTAACCCCTGAGAGGGCCGGGCAGGTGCATGTTTCCAGTTTTTTTTCGTTCGGTGGGAGCATTCCTTTGTTTTTCAACTTTGTTCGATCGTAGATGACTGGTTTTTCTTTAGAATCTTTAAACTTTTTTCAGGTCGGTTGGACTTTTTCCCTTGATTTTGGGATGGCTGAGCTGGGGATGGAGATGGCTTGGCTGATGGCTGGAGATGGTTGGGGATGG